GGGGGGGTGTTGTCCTGAAATTTAAAAAAATAAAATAAAATTGACTGAAAGTTAGGTAGTATGCTGCAGATTCCTTATTCAGTGAAGGACTCTACTGTATGAGTGTACTATTTTGGATTTGTAAGTGCTTTTGCTGTGAACTGCTTAATTTAGTAACAATGTAACAGTTGTGCGTGAATAGAGAGTCCTAGGATCCTATATGACGTCAAATTAAGTATTTACGTCACACTTGGGCACTGCCTAAACAATCTCAGGCTTTTATTTCATTACTGCGAACATACGCAAGCAATGAATCTAGAAAGTCAAAGGATTCTATGTGGATGGGCGTGAGCATAATGATACATGTGTGTATGTGTGTCTTACACTACAGGGCGACAGAGCGAGCAGGGCGAGAGGTCAAGGGCCATGTTAAAAAGGGCGCAGCGTTGTCCGCGAGACTGGGCCACTTGAGATACGAAGCTGTGGACGAGAAGTGTCGAGGGCTGGCCCCCGAGATAGAGAGGCGAAGGTCCTCGTGGAAGGGGACGAGAGCCAACCCGTTGCATAACGGCTCTCTCTCTCCTGGCGTTTGTTCGCCCCGAGTAAACAGTCTTGGTGGTAAATATCGCGCAAACCGGGGGAGGAAAGGGGATTGGGGAATGTAACAGCAAGGGCGATGACTTTTCTACACAGCTTCTTTCCTACTTCTTAGAAAATACACCAAGAGATTTATAAATATCCAGTTGTTTGCATAAACTATCGCGGGAATCCTTACAATTACACTTGCTTCAGCCCCCACATACCAATCAAAAAGAGAACAATTTCAAATACCACTGTGCCTATTGAATTGTCAACAGAAAGATGAACTATGTGCCGCTCAAAAGTACAGACACCTGACCCATATATTTGCGCGAGAACCAGCGATGTCGCGTAAACAAACGGAAGGAAGAAATATAGGAAAAAAGTTTGCTTATCTGTACACCCCTCCCCCCCCCCCAATTATGACAAACAAAACAACGGCTATAAAAATCGGATAAACTAAAGTTATCAGGTTGCAACTAAAAGTATATTATAGGGTACCTTTGTTTGCACAAAGTAAGTCATGCGTACCAATAGACCAAGCCTACTAGTTGCTTGCATTCAGTTCGTGGAAAACTAACCTCAATAGTATTGCATTATTGCAGCGCCATACGTTATGACATCACAAGCATGATGATGAGACAAACATCCGTATCAGGCTTGAAATGACTACAGGAGATACGATCTGACAAATTGTGTGTGTGTGTGTGTGTGTGTGTGTGGTGT